GAGAGAGAGAGAGATAGAGAGAGAGAGAGAGAGACTTCAACTTCAAGTACGAAAGGCGAAAAAAACAACCCACACCAAAATTTTAAAAAAACCCAACACACAAGCAAATCCTTCTGTGATCTCAATTTGTTATATTCCAAGTAGAGTGCTGAATAGGATGGAAATGCTTCAGGGGCTGGCGATATTGTCTGATTTTTGTTTGTTTTAGTAGAGGTTTTGCTGTGCTCGCAACTGCATAAAGTCAAATGAGCGCCAGAAGATTAGAGGTGTTAAAAGAGAGTAACAAACATAAAACAGGAGGAGGAGATATAAGGACAACAGATATTTAAATAGGAAAGAAGGAGTTTAGTTTTAGTAGAGGTTTTACGGCGCTCGCAACTGCATAAAGTCAAATGAGCGCCAGAAGATTAGAGGTATTACAAGAGAGTAACAAACATAAAATGAGGGGAGATAAGGACAACATATTAAATAGCAAAGAAGGAGCAAACAATTAACAAGACCACAGCACCCACCAACCATCCACTGATTTTTACATATGTGACACACACACAAAAACTGATATGTTTGACATAAAAAAAATCTATGTCAACAAGAGACAGAGTACATCTATACGTCTAATAAATTACGACAAGGAAAATCTTTGTGAGACATGCAGGGATTTATTCATGAATATTGAAGTCTTGAAATGCAACACAAACTTTTTACATAGACCCTCGCCGACCCACATCACTCTCAGTACATGACAAGAGTCTAGGGACAAGACATCTTGTCTTAGTAAGAGTTTTACGGCACTTTCAACATGACATAATAAGTTCAGATAAGTGCTGAAAATAAACTAGAAGTGTTACAAGAGGGTAACAAACACGGGGAAAAAAAAGGAGGAGAGATGAGCACGACGTTTTAGTTTTATTAAAAGTTTTACGGCTAGTGCAACACAATAAGGTCACATGTTGTTGTTGTTTTCAAATCCCTTTAACTGCGAGCATTTCGCTCTTGACAGCGCAATGCCTCCCTCAAGTAACCACATGTCCTTGTCATCTGGTCAACGCCAGAGTAGAGCAGGCTTTGTAAGTCTGTAGGTGTGTGTAGGAGCCTGCGTCGAAGAACTGCCAGGTTTGGACAGTGTAGGAGAAGACGTTCAACGGTCTCCTCGTGGTAGTCACACAATATGGTCACATAAGTGCCAGAGAACAGATGTGTTAGTGTAACAAAATGATAAAAAACACCACCGAAAAAATAAAATCATTAAAAAATAGGAGAGATAAGGATGAGAGATGTTTTATTTTTTTTAAATAACGGCACTAGCAACACAAATGGTCATTTAAGTGCCGAAGATTAAAAATCTTGCAAGAGAGTAACAAACACAAAATGAAGAAGAGATAAGGATGATAGATGTCTGATAGAAAAGAAGGAGCAAACCACACCAGCAGACAAATAGAACAACCAGACCACAGTTCACCCAGGACCAATCACCCAATGGAGCTGCTCACAGAAGAGCACCCACCAACCAAAAAACAGAAAACTGGTTAGAGATAAAAGGGAAGTAAAACCCAAACAAAATTTCAACAAAAAAAAAAATTAATTTTTACAAGAAACGAACATTGGTTGCCTAATACTTAGCACATACCCCCCCCCCCCCAAGAAAATATTAAGCACAAATACAAAGTACGAAATACAGAATGAATGATGATATTTCTTATCAACTTCTCTTTACCTCTCTAGCTCCTTGTATGTACATAATTATATAACAAGTTTCAGTATTTAGGTTCGATCAATTCTGACAAACGAAAAATGTATACACAACAATAATGCATAATATAGCATTTATACAGTGCAAGTTCCGGCTCAACAGTTCGCTCTGGGCGCTTTACTATTGCAAGAACTTGAAAACCTCAAGAGCAAACAAATAAGTAAGGATATCAACACTAACAGTACCGAAGGTTCATATAGTATATATAGTGAAAAACCCTCAAGTACCACACCAGCTTAGAATGCTGAAGCAATGCTAGAATTTTTTTAAAGAACCCCCCCCCCAAAAAAAAAACAAACAACAACCCATGGCAGCCCGAGAAATACGCTTTAAAAATTCATAGAAGTTCATCAACCATTCAACTATCATATAGTGTGACTTCCTTTGGTATTTACTTCAGTGCAGTGCGTCCATTCATAATAATAAATAATAAATAGCATTTGTATAGCGCATATCCCCGCTCAACAGCAGGCTCTATGCGCTTTACACTATATTAATGCGTCCATTCATTATTTAATTATGGTTAGTGTGCCTGGATGCATCAGCAACTAAAGTCGCCAGCGGTAGTGAGTGCATATAATGGCCTAGCGACTAAAGTGGCCGACGGAACAGTAAGTGTTAAGTACAATAGGTCGCTTTTCAGGACAAGCGGGCCAACCCAGATTTCGGGGGTTTCCAGAAATCTTGACCTATACCAAAAGAGAGTATTGCCCTACCTATAGGAGAAGTTTGGTTTCATTGGTGTGTACATTTGTTTGATTATATTTAAAAAACTCCCCTTATCTTTTAAAGAAACTGAACAAGGGGCAAAAACTTTGTCTTCGATTTTCTCAAAACAGCATTTTTTGCGATAGCAGCCTTGTGCTTAAAAGCATCAATTGTCAACAATGGTCAGTGAGGCCAGTCATCCCTCAAACATCATCATTGTCGTCGTCATCCTCATCATCGATGACCATGGGTTTTTTCTTCTTGCTCATCACCGCCCGAAGGGGAATGTGGTCGTTATCTTCGTCGTCAGAGTCGAGTCCTTGGGTGAACAGGGTGGCCGGGAATGATTCTGGAAGAGGAATCAGAGAAAAGTTCAGTTTAGTTTTAGTAAGAGTTTTACAGCACTTACATAGGTCATATGTGAGACAGCGTGGTGAAATCAGGCGCTCGTCAAAATTACGAAATCGAAGAAACAGGTGTTTTTTGGCCAGTTTGGAATTTTTGATTGAATTATTTTTTGGGGCTGACCTCTTTTACAGCCATATAAAAACACAATTTCATGTGAATTGTACTGAAAAACATTGTTTCGAGCCTCAACCTTTCAAAACAAACAAGTTTTATTTTAAAGGTCACAGGTCGATTTAGTCGAATTCAGCCGTACTGTGCCAAAATGGTAGCTTAACTTTTGCCCCATCCATGGTGGAAAATCTGGCTCAATCTAACAAATCTGATAAGCAGCGTGCTCTGGAAATAAAGGACAACCATTTATCATAATAATAATAGACAGTATTTGTATAACACAAATCCCCTCTCAACAGCAAGATCTATGCGCTTCACAATCTATACTATTACCCCAGCAGACCTGAGAGCATTCTGAAACAACCTCAACTTCGTGTGAAGCATAGAGTGCAAGCGGCCATTTATAGGCACTTATAACTTATACAGAAAAGAAGCATTAGAGAATATTGTAACAACAGGCAGGTCTGATGGAAAGAGAGGCAGAGGAAGACCGAGGGAAAAGATACTGGACAAGTTGACTGTTGCACTGGGGTTGTTTGCCATTATCATTATTGTATTTAATAAGACAAAAGTAAAAACTCCGTTTCTAGATGAAAAAGGTTGATTTAATAAGAAAATGATATGAGGTCTGCCCTCTCTGGCTTCACTGACAAGACTAAATCATAATGAGCACGAGCACATGTGATTAAAACAGGAAGGAGGAGTAAGTAAAGATCACTAAGATCAGACAATCTTTGTTGTGAGGGTAGATAAAATAAAAGTACAATTACAGGGACATAATCCAACTTAATCATGTTGATATAGGGACCAACAATCCAGAATTTATTGTTTCCCTTCTATATATTGATAAAAGCAATCTAATAGTCTAACATTGACAACATTGCTGGGAACAGTAAGAATGACATTGCTGCAACGCAAGACAGAGTGAAGTGGAGGTCCATGATCGCCCACGCCAGTCGGCAAGGCACCGGATGATGATGATGATGACACATACCTCCAGCTTGTTTTGCCGGTGTGGATTCATCGTCGACTGGCTCTGGTTCCTCTTCCTGGTCGGCACCAGCATTCTCTCCCTTGCTGGCGTCAGCGTCCTCTTTCTTCTCTTCCTTGTCCTCTCCGTCCTTGTCCTCCCCCTCCTCATCACTGCTAGTGTCAAAGTGTAGCCTCAGGCTGTCGTCCTGTTGGCTCTGTGACTGACTTGCTGTTTTGTTAAAAAGAGAATTTGTTTGATCGTATGAAAAGACAGACAAAACAAAGGCGGGGTTTGTGCGTGTGTGTTCAGTTTTTGTTTTAGTAGAGGTTTTACGGCACTCGCAACTGCATAAGGTCACATGAGCGCCAGAAGATTAGAGGTGTTAAAAGAGGGTAACAAACATAAAAAAGAAGAAGGGGGAGATAACGACGATAGATGTTTGATAGGAAAGAAGAAGCAAGCCACACCAGAGCACCCGCCAACCACCCATGCGTGTGTGTTTGTGGTGTGTGCGTGCATGTGTGTGTGTTTGTCGTGTGTGCGTGCATGTGTGTGTGTGTGTGTTGAGCTTTAAAAAGTTTTAGTAAAAGTTTTAACGACACTTGCAACACAATAAGGTTATATAAGTGCCGAATATTATAAGCGTTACAAAAGAGTAAGAAATACAAAAAAAGGGAGGGGGGATAAAGACGATAGATGTTTGATAGGAAAGAAAAAGCGCCTGCCAACTATGCACTGGGTGGAGTTTGTGTGTGTGAGTGTGTGTGTGTTCATATGTGATTCTGTGTGTGTGTGTTTGTGTGTGTGTGTGTGTGCATGCGTGTGTGTGTGTGTTCATATGTGATTCTTTGTGTGTGTGTGTGTGTGTGTGTGTTTGTGCACGTATGTGTGTGTGTGTGTATGTGCACGCATGTGTGTGTGTTTGTGCACGCATGTGTGTGTGTGTGTGTGTGTGTGTGTGTGTGTGTGTGTGTGTGTGTGTGTGTGTGCACGCATGTGTGTGTGTGTGTGTTCGTGTGTGTGTGCACGCATGTGTGTGTGTGTGTCTGTGTTGAGTTTGAGGAAAGAGAAGCACATCGACACAACAACCATTATATAGTATAGATCAGAGAAGAAGCAAGACAGATAGACAGAAACAACAGAGGGAAAATAAAGAAACAAGACAGATAGACAGAAACAACAGAGGAAAAATAAAGAAGCAAGACAGATAGACAGAAACAACAGAGGGAAAAAAGAAGCAGGATCTAACAACAAAATACAAAGCAGAAAAAAAAAGAGAAAGATAAAAGGAAAGGGGAGAAATTTAAAAAGAAGAGAGACAGAAGGAGGTGAAGGGAGCGAGACAGGAAGCTCCCCTCCCCCCCCAACAAAATAAAAAAAAAACACAAAAAAAAACAAACCAACCTCCACTTTGATCCAGGATAGACTCGTTGTTATTCTCCTTGTCACTGTTCTCATCACTGGGGACGACGCTGCTGATGTCCATCTCAGTCCTAGACACATTTCCTCTCTCTTCATCATCACCATTATCATTCCCACCATCATCACCATTATCATCATCATCGGACTGCATGACTCGGACTCTCTTAGGAGTCTCCGTCCCTCGCTTCCCCTCAGTGGTGCTGTTGGTGGTTCCTCCTATGTCATCACTGTATACGGAAAATGTAAAATGTATGAGTATGACGTAATCCAAAACATTTAACTGAGCAAAGTGCATCGCATAAAAGGAAAACATTTAACTGAGCAAAGCGCATCGCATAAATGGAAAACATTTAACTGAGCAAAGCGCATCGCATAAATGGAAAACGTTTAACTGAGCAAAGCGCATCGCATAAATGGAAAACGTTTAACTGAGCAAAGCGCATCGCATAAATGGAAAACGTTTAACTGAGCAAAGCGCATCGCATAAATGGAAAACGTTTAACTGAGCAAAGCGCATCGCATAAATGGAAAACGTTTAACTGAGCAAAGCGCATCGCATAAATGGAAAACGTTTAACTGAGCAAAGCGCATCGCATAAATGGAAAACGTTTAACTGAGCAAAGCGCATCGCATAAATGGAAAACGTTTAACTGAGCAAAGCGCATCGCATAAATGGAAAACATTTAACTGAGCAAAGCGCATCGCATAAATGGAAAACATTTAACTGAGCAAAGCGCATCGCATAAATGGAAAACATTTAACTGAGCAAAGCGCATCGCATAAATGGAAAACATTTAACTGAGCAAAGCGCATCGCATAAATGGAAAACATTTAACTGAGCAAAGCGCATCGCATAAATGGAAAACATTTAACTGAGCAAAGCGCATCGCATAAATGGAAAACATTTAACTGAGCAAAGCGCATCGCATAAATGGAAAACATTTAACTGAGCAAAGCGCATCGCATAAATGGAAAACATTTAACTGAGCAAACTGTATCACGCATACCGAAACATTTTACTTAGAAAATAGTACAACATAAACCGGAACATTTTACTTAGAAAATAGTACAACATAAACCGGAACATTTTACTTAGAAAATAGTACAACATAAACCGAAACATTTTACTTAGAAAATAGTACAACATAAACCGAAACATTTTACTTAGAAAATAGTACAACATAAACCGAAACATTTTACTTAGAAAATTGTCTAACATAAACCGAAACATTTCACTAAACAAATTGTCTAACATAAACCGAAACATTTCACTAAACAAATTGTCTAACATAAACCGAAACATTTCACTAAACAAATTGTCTAACATAAACCGAAACATTTCACTAAACAAACTGTCTAACATAAACCGAAACATTTCACTAAACAAATTGTCTAACATAAACCGAAACATTTCACTAAACAAATTGTCTAACATAAACCGAAACATTTCACTAAACAAACTGTCTAACATAAACCGAAACATTTCACTAAACAAATTGTCTAACATAAACCGAAACATTTCACTAAACAAATTGTCTAACATAAACCGAAACATTTCACTAAACAAATTGTCTAACATAAACCGAAACATTTCACTAAACAAATTGTCTAACATAAACCGAAACATTTCACTAAACAAATTGTCTAACATAAACCGAAACATTTCACTAAACAAATTGTCTAACATAAACCGAAACATTTCACTAAACAAACTGTCTAACATAAACCGAAACATTTCACTAAACAAATTGTCTAACATAAACCGAAACATTTCACTAAACAAATTGTCTAACATAAACCGAAACATTTCACTAAACAAACTGTTTAACATAAACCAAAAACAGGAAATAAACCAACCTGTCACTGTCCGACTCCAAAGCCCTCTTCTTGTTAACCTTGCCAGCCGTGCCGCCGTTGGCTGGTGGTGACACACTCCGGGAGCTGACCTTGACCTCTGCCCCCTCCTCCTCTTCCTCCTGGACACCCAGAGCTGCTGACCCAGTTCTGGACTTGGTTTCCACGTCACTGGGGGATAAAGCAAACAGTTGATACTTTTAGTTTGAGTAAGGGTTTTACAGAACCTGCAACACAATTGTGACATACAAGTGCCGAAGATTCGAGGTGTAGTTACTTGTGATAGACAAAGACTTTCTTTCACGCCACTGAGTGAGTGAGAGAGGCAAATGTAAGAAAAGAGTAAGAGAAGGGGGGGTCAAAAAGTCCCCAAAAAGGTGTAAGACTATATTTGAACAGCCTGTAATGATAGTTGTAAAGTTAATAATTGTAATTAATATAGATTGTAAAGCGCACAGAGTTTGCTGTTGATCAAGAATTTCCGCTATACAAATACCATCTATTAGTATTATTATTAAGCACATAGAGCACGTTGTGGAGCTTGGGTCTGAGCTATAAAACTGCAGTTATTATTATTATTATCATCATCATTATTATTATTATCATTATAATTATTACCATTACTATCATCACCATAATTATTATTATCAGCATTATCATTATAATTACTATTATCATTATCACATACCTGTCTGAATCCGAGCCCAGCATAGCAATCCTCCTGCCCCGTTTCCTCTTGTTCGACTTGTCATTTCCCGGAGACTTTGAGGAGGTTTCACGCTCTTCCTGTCCCGAACGTGCGACTGACGAGTCGTCGTCTCTGTCACCTGTCAGACGTGCCACTGACGCGACATCTCCGTCAGCTACCCCGGCACCCTGACCATCCTCTGCCGACACTTCGGTTGTGCCAGAATTAGGCAATGTTTCTTTGGATGCTCTGTAGAAAAGATTGCTTCAGCTTAGAATGTACATCATGAAACACACACGCATAGCAAACAGATTTTAAGCCCCAAATTTTTTTCTTATAATATATTATATGTGAGGCAGCGTGGTGGAATCAGGCTCTCGTCAATTTTTGGGCATATTGAGTTATTGGTATCATCTTAAAGCTTGTTCATTTGTCTTGTTTTCAATTTTTTAAAAATCAATCCATCTTCAATAGAAGTGGAGATATTTTGGATTGAAGGAGGTGGGGGTCACCTGGTTTAAGAGGTAAAATTAGCGAGAAAATGGCCGCCAAAGCTTGGTAAATTCCAAAGCTGGAGAGTCCATGGAAACTGTAAATTTATATTTTTGTACCTTTAATCAAGTTTTTCGGTGAAATTGTAAATGGACATAAAAGATGTTGAGCCAAAAAAAACAAAAATTTGACAAAAAATTGGAAAGCAGGGAGAAAACTGCTGTTTTCTTCGATTTCATTATTTTGACGAGAGCCTGATTCCACCACCCTGCCTCACATATTTATATATTCCTTGTTTTCAAAACATACACAGCGAAATTAGCACATAATGAAAAGATTTCCACTTTGCATCGATTTCGCTTTGTGCATGCTACCACCCTGCATAAGTATAAATAAAATTGATATGTGCGCGCATTTGTTTGTATAGACTTAAATACATGTCCATATGTTTTTTGTTTTTTTTAAATAGTAGAGCGTTTTACGGCGCTCGCAACTGCATAAGGTCATATGAGCACCAAGGGGTGGGTGTCAACAGAGAAGTCTCTACAGGGATCAGACTTACTCTGCTCACCTCCCTAGCTTCAACAGCACAAGGTCTGCTTCGACTATCAAGGCACCCCGGAAATAGCAGGTCACAAGAGAGTGACAGACATACAAAAGAAGTAGAGGAAACATGACAATAGTAAGGATTAGGAAAGAAAAAGCAGCAGTTCCCTGTTGTAGATCAGGCACAGTTATGAGCGTGACATGAATCAGCCCATTTACAATTCTACTGAGCTTGAATGAGAAATGTTCCCCTTTGGGAATAGCCTAAAGACACTACAGTCAGAGGCACTGCCCCGCGGGGTATGTTTTAAAAAAGAATGTGCATAATATGTGTAATTGAGACAGCCTAGAAATAATTTGCATAAGCTGTGTATCACCTGTATGTATCAAAAAAGAAAGTTCACATTTGTAATATACAGACACAGTCTACACACCTTTAACATTTAGACAAATTACATACTTTTAACACAAACAAAATCAACATACCTTTACCACAAAGACAGTGTGTACACCTGTAACACACAGACAAAGACACATTCTACCTACCTGTAACACACAGACAAAAACACATTCTACACACCTGTAACACAGACAAAGACACATTCTACTCACCTGTAACACACACACAAAGACACAACCTGTAACACACACAAAGACACATTCCACACACCTGTAACACACACACAAAGACACCGCGTACACACCTGTTCTTCCCCCTGTCTGATCTCTCCCTTTTCTTGTTCTTTTTCTCTATCATTTTCTGCAGCGCCGCTCGTCTGGATTCTCCACTCTTCTTCCTTCCTTCACTGTTTTCACCACTCTTCTTCTTTTCCCCACCCTTCTTCGCATTCTTCCTTTCCTGCCAAAGTCTCTCCTGTTCTCTCGCCTCTAAATCCAGGTCCAAACCAGAGTCGCTCGTATCGCTGTCTTTCGACGCTGTCGGTAATTTCGGACGGAACTTTTCTTTCTTCACCGGAGTGTTATCGTCGTTGTCGGAGCTGCTAGAGTTGTCGTCTGAGCTGCCGTCACTGCCACTAGCAGACGGACAGGAAGCTCTGTCGTCGTTTCCAACATCGGCATTCTCATCAGACACGTGCCCATCACTTTCGTCTGTTTCGTCATTCTGCTTTTTCTGCCTCTTTTTATCGACATTCGTTTTCTTCTTTTCTTTTTTCGACTTTTCTCGACCATCTTTGGCCCTTTTGCTTTTCTTCGATGTTTTCTTCCTTTCAGACTTTGAGGAAGAGGATGTAGACGGTCGGCTGGGAGCGGCAAACAAATCTGGGAACACGCGGGACACGACACTCTGAACCCCGTCCGCATCAGTTGCTTCCCCTGACTCACCGACCGTCAAACCGTCCGCAATGCTGAGCAGGTCAGCTGCAGAAAGCGCAGCTGAGATTCGCCAAAACTTTTCCTAAGGAAAAAAAAAGAAAGAAAGACATTAAGACATATAGATTGACTTTACATTCCCAACCCACAAGTAATTTACAGAATTAAGTTTTAGTGCAAGTTTTACAATACTTATAACATAAATATGTCATATAAGGGCGTCGGTGGCCTAGTGGTTAGGCTCTCGGACTCGCAACCGTTAGGTCGTGGGTTCGAATCCCGTCAAGGGCCCGACGTTGTGTCCTTGGGAAAGGCACTTTACACAAATTTTCCTCACTTCACCCAGGTGGGAATGGGTACCCAGCTATAGACAGCGAAAGATCTTGTCAGTTTGTTAGTGTTCGAGCGCTTAATCAGCTGCTTGCACTATATGCTTCCCGGGAAGCTGAGAATGTTTCGGAGTGTTCTATGGTCTGCTGGGGTAATAATATAGTGTAAAGCGCATAGAGCCTGCTGTTGAGCGGGGATATGCGCTATACAAATGCTATCTATTATATCTATTTGGGCTGAAGATGAGAGGTGTCACTTGAGAGTAACATACAAAGAAAAAGAGGAGGAGAGAGAATGATGACAGATGTTGAATAGAAAAGAAGGAACGAATCACACCGGAGCACCCACCAACCACCCTCAAGGAGGAGAGATAAGGAAAATTGAGGTTTGACAGGAAAGAAGGAGCAAACCACATGAGAGCACCCACCAACCACCTGTTAATTACATGACATAGGTGTGTATTGCTATGTAGAAAATCATTCTGTCACCACGACTCACTGATGTATTTAGGCAGACAAGTTGTGTTATAGTAGAGGGTTTTACGGCGCTCGCAACTGCATAAGGTCATATGAGCGCCAAGGGGTGGGTGTCAACAGAGAAGTCTTTACAGGGAATCAGACTTACTCTGCTCACCTCTCTAGCTTCAACAACACAAGGTCTACTTCAACTATCAAGGCACCCCAGAAATAGCAGTTTACAAGAGTGTGACAAACATACAAAAGAAGTAGAGGAAAATGACAATAGTAAGGATTAGAAAAGAAAAAGCAGTTCCCTGCTGTAGATCAGGCACAGTTATGAGCGTGACATGGATGAATCAGCCCATTTACAATTCTACTGTGCTTGAACGAGAAATGTCCCCCCTTTGGGAATGGCCTAAAGACACTAGTCAGTGGCACTACCCCGTGGGGTAGTGTATCGCTATGTAGAAAATCATTCTGTCAGCACGACTCACTGATGTATTTAGGCCGACAATTGTACCATTTATTTAGAAAGGAGAGAGGTGCTGCTTTGGCCGGTTGTCATGTTGTTTGTGATCATCACAAGTTACTTGCTATTATTTCCTTTACTTTCCTCTCTTTACCACGCTAGCTATCTGCGATACCTGCAGTCACTAGGGAGGTTTACAACTTCTCTACCCCCCAGGGCAGTGCTACTAACTGTAAGTGGTCTTTTGGCAGACCTGCCACTCTATGAAATCTAAAAATCAGGATTTCAGAGTTAAAAAATCAGGATCTGGTGAAAAAAATCGGGATCAATGGCAAATCAGTCATAAAGGGCACTGGGGAAGGCGGTGTGTGTCCTGGTTCCCTTTTAATAGGCAAGTATGCAAGGCAAAACTTTGACAGCATATGCAGGGCTACTCGAGTCGATGTTGGATAGACTGGGGGAGCGAAGGTCGCAGTGATGCTGAAACACTCGTAGTCTTGAAAATAGCTGACACGTAACTCTAATCATCCACGCAAAACGCCCACGAAAAATCAGGATACTGTCGATCGAAATCGGGAAAATCGGGATGCTTGAGAATTGGGGCAAAAAAATCGGGATATCCCGATTAAATCGGGATGAGTGGCAGGTCTGCTTTAGGCCATTCCCAAAGGGGGGGATATTAACATGTTCTTATGCACAGTGCAATTGTAAATGGGCTTATGCATCAATGTCATGCTCATACTGTGCCGGAACAACAAAAGGGGGAGCTGCTGCTTTTTCTTTCCTCTTTCTTGCTATCGTTATTTTTCCTCTACTTCTTTTGGATGTTTGTCACTCTCTTGTGAACTGCTTTTTCCGGGGTGCCTTGATAGTCGAAGCAGACTCTGTGTTGTTGAGGCTAGAGAAGTGAGCAGAGCAAGCCTGATTCACCGTTTGTACTCCTCATTTGACATTCATCCCTTGGCGCTCATATGACATTATGCAAAGGCGAGCGCCGTAAAACCTTACTAAAACTAAAACTAGATACTCCTCATTAATTTATGCTGGCCGAACTATCACAAGGACATTACCTGCTCATTAGCCGGAGGTGTCACCCCGATTGACCTTAAGAAGATCAAAAAGAGCTCATCTTCCATGGCCGTTTCATTCTCCTCTGTGAGAGGAACGATTGGGGTGGGCACACAAACTGTGGATAGAAGCAAAGGGTTGATTAGATACAAAAAGCAAATTGATACAAAATGTTGATTAGCCAAATACTAAAAAGAAATCCCTCAAAAACAAACTTTGGTCACTGATGTGTTCGACAAGATCTAAGTGGGAAGTGGGTCACAATAATCAAGTAGTTTAAAAAAAAGAAAGAAAGAAGAAGAAGAAGAAGGAGGAGGAGGAGGAGGAGGAGGAGGAGGAGGAGGAGGAGGAGGAGGAGGAGGAGGAGAAGAAGAAGAAGTAGAAAAATAAGAAGAAGAAGAGGAAGAAGAAGAAGAAGAAGAAGAAGTAGAAGTAGAAGAAGAAGAAGAAGAAAAAGAAGAAGGTGGGTGACTATCTTCTTAGACAATTTCTGTTGTGACCGGAAGTCGTATTATTACTGAGTTACTCACCCCCTTCTTCCCGATCCTCTGCCGTGTTTCTCAGACCTCTCTGTATCCAGGCAATCTGATCCTTGTATCCTGCACAAAAAACAAACATCACATGTGTGCCAGGCCGACGGATGAACTGAGCAGGACGGCTCAATTTATGACAGACACCAGATTTCAAGTGTGATGCGATCGAGGAGAAGAAGAGATGTGTGGGACAAGAAATGACGAGTCCACTGAAGTAAAGTGCCTTCAAATTTTAATGGGGCTTCCCAAAAATGTTGTTGTAGGAGTGTACCAAGTTTGGCATGGCTTGAATACTCTCAGTTTTAGGATTATTTATTTGTTATTATAGTAGAGGGTTTTATGGCGCTCGCAACTGCATAAGGTCATATGAGCGCCAAGGGGTGGATGTTGTCAACAGAGAAGTCCTTACAGAGAATCAGACTTACTCTGCTCACCTCTCTAGCTTCAACAGCACAAGGTCTGCTTCAACTATCAAGGCACCCTGGAAATAGCAGGTCACAAGAGAGTGACAAACATACAAAAGAAGTAGAGGAAAATGACAATAGTAAGGATTAGAAAAGAAAAAGCAACAGTTTCCTGTTGTAGATCAGGCACAGTTATGAGCGTGAAATGAATCAGCCCATTTTCTACTGCACTTGAACGAGAAATGTCCCGTCTTTGGGAATGGCCTAAAGACACTACAGTCAGTGGCACTGCCCCGGGGGGTTCAGTTTTATGAGACAGGGAAACTTCTTTACGAAATGGACCTAGTTTATCAGATTTTCAAATTTCTCGATCTTTCTGCTGGAAGGTTGCATTTATCCCTCTCAGCTCATATGAATATCAATTTGAAACCCAAAGGGTGTACATTTTTTTCTTCTTTTCAAATATAGATTCTATCTTGATCTCAATAACGGAATAACAGATCAGGTTCAGGATCAAAATACTGGAAATACCGAAAAAAAAGCGGAAAAGTGGCATCCCTGCTCACCGTTCTCCACAAGCCTCTTAACGTAGTCGCCGACAGTCGACGCCGCCTGCCTCACAAGTAACTGCACATCTTCATCGTCATCATCATCTTCTTCGTCAGTGGAGCCATTATCACTACCCCAGCTCCTTCTTCGGCCTGTGAAGAGAAAAAAAATAATGGATTGGAAACGTTTTACATCGCCTGTAAATTCTTTGCCATATCGACAGACCGAAGGGCTAGAACCCAAATGGCCGCTGGATCGGTAAAGTAAAGTAAAAGTACATCGTCACAACAAAGATTTTTAGTTTAGTTTTAGTAAGAGTTTTACGGCACTTGCAACCCAATAAGGTCATATAAGTGCCGAAGATTAGAGGTGTTACAAGAGAGTAACAAACAAAGAAAGGAGGAGAGATCAGGACGATAGATGTTTGATAGGAGACAAGGAACAAACCACACCAGAGGACCCGCCAACCACCCACACAATTAAGATTTGTCTAGGACATGTTCTAAGAACGCAAAAGGCAAGATTAAGATTGCCTTGCCAGACATGGTATCGGAAACCAACAGAAAAAAGAAAACGAGGAAGACCAACTGGAAGCTATGGAGGCACAATAAGGGATGAGGCAATCACCCAGGGCCTGTGTGTGTGTGTGTGAGTGTGTGTGAACCCAATGCTTTGGCACAATATAACAGTTGGGGATTCAAATTACATATATATGTGTGTGTGTGTGTGTGTGTGTGTGTGTGTGTGTGTTAGTGAGAGTGAACCCAATCCTTTGGCACAATATAACAGTTGGGGATTCAAATTACATATGTGTGTGTGTGTGTGTGTGAGTGTGTGTGTGTTAGTGAGTGTGAACACAAAGCTTTGGCCCAATATAACAGAAGGGGATTCAAATATGGTCCAAACTATGTGTGTGTGTGTGTGTGAGTGTGCGTGTGTGTGTGTCAATACAAAACTTTGGCACAAAAAACAGTTGGGGATTCAAATTACATGTGAGCGTGTGTGTGTGTGTGTGTGTGTGTGTGTGTGTGTGAGTGTGTGTGTGTGTGAGTGTGTGTGAACCCAAAGCTTTGGCACAATATAACAGTTGGGGACTCAAATAGGGTCCAAACTCTGTGTGTGTGTGAGTGTGTGCCAATACAAAACTTTGGCACAAAAAACAGTTGGGGATTCAAATTACATGTGAGCGTGTGTGTGTGTGTGAGTGTGTGTGTGTGTGTGTGTGTGTGTGTGTGTGAGAGAGAGAGAGAGAGAGAGTGGCGCACGCAAGCGCACACGTTTGTGTCATTTCTTCGCTCATATGAACAAATATTTTCATTTTATTTTTACAGCTATTGTTCTGTACATGGATTTAAGTAAAGCAATAAAGAAATCTGGACATATTATCATTATCATTAAAAACTTCTCGAAAAACCACAAAGATCTCATCCATACTTCTCTTCTTCCTCTCCGGGAAGAGTCGCTCCCCCTCGTCACTCTCACTGCCGCTCCGCCCGCCATCCTCGCTCTCGCTCCTCCTGCCCCCTCGTCCACTTCCTCTTCCTTTCTTCTTCTTCCGCAGCTCCTGCCGATCAGCGACCAGACCAAGTTCCAGAATTTTCCTGGTGACCGCTTGCTTGGATTTGCCCAGAGCCTCTACACTGGACATGATGCCTGCCATAGGATCTGGATAAAAAAAACAAAAAACAAAACAAAACAAAAAACGTGTTATCTTTTGAGTAATACAATGGACTTTGGAAAAAAAACCAATATGTTCCGCCTTTTAAAGTTTAACCCTATCTGTATGCCCCGAAGTTATTTTGTACCCCCTGGGTTGTATTCTTCACATTTTAGAATACTTCTAGATCTAGATCTAGTACGAAGATCTCTTTGACTGACAGACTGCTATGCAAAGCGTATGGATCGGATTAACGAGTAAATTTCCTCTTTGGAAAATGGTGGCACAGAGTTCCCCACGTCGTATGGATACGATAGTAAAACACGACGTACGGATAGAGTTAAGTGGTGGCACAGAGTTCCCCACGTCGTATGGATACGATGGTAAAACACGATGTACGGATAGGGCTAAAGTGAATAGGAAAATTTAAACTGGGAAACAAAAAGGTTCCTGCCGTTAAGTTGAAATAGAATGGGAAAACAAGCAAAATCGGAAAACAAATAATAGGATCTATCTTTTAAGTTTACGTTTAAAAAAGACAGGGAAAACAAACAACATCAAAAATTGTTCTATCTTTTGAGAAATAGAATGGGTTTAGGGGAACTATGTTCTACCTTTTTTAAGTATAAATAGAATAGAAAAACAAAACAAAACAGGAAAACAAATAAAATGTTCGATTTAAATAAATAAAATGGGAAATCAAACAAAATAGAGATTTATCTTTGGGGAAAAAAAAAGTTTCTACCTTTTAAAGTTTAAAAGTGATGGAAAAACAAAACAAAATTAGAAAGCAACAAAAAGTTCAACCCTCACAAGTTTAAACAGAATAGGAAACAAACAAAATGTTCCATGTTTTAAGTCACAGAATGGGTTTATAAAAACAAATTAAATATTTTGTTTTTAAAGTAATAGACTGGGCTTTGGGAAACAAAAATACGTGGTGGTGGTGGTGGGTGTGTGATGTGTGTGTGTGTGTGTGTGTGTGTGTGTGTGGTTGTCTTAAAGAAGTAACAGGATGGATTTTGGAAAAGACACAAAATTTTTTATTTTTTTATTTTTTTAACAGGTAACAGGACGATCTTTGGATGGAAAAAACCCCCAAAAATATTTCCTGAAAAGAAAATTGGATGGGGTTTGAAAAACAAATAAATATTTCATTTTTAAAAAAAAAAGATAACTTGATAGGTTTTGGAAAACAACAAAATGTTTCATTATTTAAATAAAAAAATAAAAAAATGAGTGGCCGCCAACATTTGGCGACTTCCAAAGCTTGAGAGTCGTGGGATACTGTAAATTATACGGGGGTCTTTTTTTGTGTCTTTGATCAACGTTTTTCAGTAAAATCCCCACAGAAATGTGTTTTTAAATGGATATAAAAAGGTAGTGAGAATTTAAAAAAAAAAAGAAAAGAAAATTAAAATAAGAAATTGGCAACAGTCCGAAAAATGTCTATTTTTCCAATTTCACTATTTTGGCAAGCGCCCGACTTCACCACAATGCCTCACAATTTTCCTTTATTCTCCGTCACTTCCTACACAAGATACAAACAATTTTCCCTTATTCTCAGTCACTTCCTACACAAGATACAAACAATTTTCCCTTATTCTCCGTCACTTCCTACACAAGATACAAACAATTTTCCCTTATTCTCCGTCACTTCCTACACAAGACACAAACAATTTTCCCTTATTCTCTGACACTTCCTACACAAGATACAAACAATTTTCCCTTATTCTCTGCCACTTCCTACACAAGATACAAACAATTTTCCCTTATTCTCCGTCACTTCCTACACAAGACACAAACAATTTTCCCTTATTCTCCGTCACTTCCTACACAAGACACAAACAATTTTCCCTTATTCTCTGACACTTCCTACACAAGATACAAACAATTTTCCCTTATTCTCTGCCACTTCCTACACAAGATACAAACAATTTTCCCTTATTCTCCGTCACTTCCTACACAAGACACAAACAATTTTCCCTTATTCTCAGTCACTTCCTACACAAAATACACATAATTTTCCCTTACTCTGAGTCACTTCCAACACAAGATACACATAATTTTCCCTTATTCTCAGTCACTTCCTACACAAGATACACATAATTTTCCCTTATTCTCAGTCACTTCCTACACAAGATTACACATAATTTTCCTTACGGTCCGCCTCTCGGTGCAGATTGACAGCATCGGTCAGTTGCTGAACTTCCTCATCTGTCCACTTTTTGCTGGCGCTGGAAAGTAAAAGAAGAGAAAAATACCAGTTTAGTTTACCCTCTCTGGTAAATCTGGCTCATCAGCAGTCGTTATACAAAGCACGATACTTCACACATTGCATGTGATTATTAGACTCTCGGACTCGCAACCATAAGGTCATGGGTTCGAATCCCGTCCGGGGCACGACATTGTGCCCTTGGGAAAGGCACTTTACACGAATTTTCCTCATTTCACCCAGGTGGGAATAGGTACCCATCTAGAGACAGCGAAAGATCTTGTCAGTTTGTTAGTATTTGAGCACCTAACAGCTGCTTGCACTGTATGCTTCCTAGGAAGCTGAGAATTTTTTCAGAGTTCTATGGTTTGCTGGGCTAATAATATAGTGTAAAGGGCATAGAGCTTACTGTTGAGCGGGGATATGCGCTATACAAATGTTATTTATTTATTTATTATTATTATATTACGATACGTAATTTCACAAAATGATCCATATGTGACACAAATTTTATTTTGTTTGATTTTTGTTTGAGTAAAGTTTTACGGCGCTCGCAACTGCATAAGGTCATATGAGCGCCAAGGGTGGATGTCAACAGAGAAGTCCAAAACTGGGAATCAGGCTTACTCTGCTCACCTCTCTAGTCTGAACAGCAAAAAGTCTGCTTCGACTATCAACGCACCCAGGAAATAGCAGTTCACAAGAGTGCGACCAACATAATATATAAAAGAAGTAGAGGAAAATGATGATACTAAGGATGAGTAAAGAAAAAGCAGCAGTTTCCCCTTTATTGTTCAGGCACAATATGAGCATGACATTGAAAAATCAGCAAATTTACAATTCTATTGTGCATAAGAACATGTTCATATCTCCCCTTTTGGAGTGGCCTAAACAAAGTAAGACAAATGCTTGCACAAAGTACCCATGAACAAAGTAAAGTAAGACGTACGCTTGCACAAAGTAAAGTCAGGTACGTACGACGTACCCATAAACAGCGTAAAGTAAAACGTACCCTTGAACAAAGTAAAGTAAGATGTACCCATGAACAAAGTAAAGTAAGATGTACCCATCAACAAAGTAAAGTAAAACATACCCATGAACAAAGTAAAGTAAGACATACCCATCAAAAAAGTAAAGTAAAACATACCCATGAACAAAGTAAAGTAAGACGTACCCATGAACAAAGTAAAGTAAGATGTACCCATGAACAAAGTAAGGTAAGACAAATGCTTCGACAAAGTACCCATGAACAAAGTAAAGTAAAATGTACCCATGAACAAAGTAAAGTAAGATGTACCCATGAACAAAGTAAAGTAAGACATACCCATGAACAAAGTAAAGTAAAACATACCCATGAACAAAGTACAGTAAGACGTACCCATGAACAAAGTAAAGTAAGACATACCCACGAACAAAGTAAAGTAAAACATACCCATGAACAAAGTATAGTAAGACGTACCCATGAACAAAGTAAAGTAAGATGTACCCATGAACAAAGTAAAGTAAAACATACCCATGAACAAAGTAAAGTAAGAAGTAGGCTACCCTAGAACAAAACAAAGTAAGACAAACGCTTCGACAAAGTACCCATGAACAAAGTAAAGTAAGACGTAGGCTACCCTGGAACAAAACAAAGTAAGACAAATAAATGCTGGTACAAAGTAATGTAAGACGTACCCAGATTTTTTCTTCCTGATGTCCTTGGCGCTGGCGATGAGCCCTTGCTTCTTGAGCTCCCGTAGGACCTGCATGCGCGTGTGAGTCGAGGTCAGCTCCGACAGAATCAGCTCCACAGTGTCCAGCTCTGGATGAACAGACGGTTGGTACATTTGTCAGCAGCTTGTTTGTTTGTGTGTTTGTTTGTTACATTAGTTAGCAGCTTGTTTGTTTGTGTGTTTGTTTGTTACATTTGTCAGCAGCTTGTTTGTTTGTGTGTTTGTTTGTTACATTTGTTAGCAGCTTGTTTGTTTGTGTGTTTGTGTCTTTTTAGTTTAGATTAGAGGTGTAAGAGAGTAACAAACACAGAAAAACCCCAGGAGAGATAAGGACGATAGGTGTTTTGTTTTAGTTTTAGTAGAGGTTTTACGGCGCTCGCAACTGCATAAGGTCATATGAGCGCCAGAAGATTAGGGGTGCTACAAGAGAGTCACAAACACAAAAAAAGAAGGAAGGGAGATAAGGACGATAGACGTTTGATACGAAAGAAGGAGCAAGCCACACAAGAGCACCCGCCAACCATCGACTTTGTGTTGGAGTTCAGCCTTCTACTAAACACAAATATGCTTAATTGTGTGAGTTTGTTTGCTTGTGTGAAGAGAAGAACATTAAACAGTGAATGTCAACAGAAAAGACAGATTACAGGAACGGAACAGACACGAGTTCGGTGAAAACAAACAGCACAACAAATGCAGGCTTGTCAGCTTTTCCAAACCCCGATCAGGGGCACGCAACGTTATAACATCAGATTATGCAACAACTGTAAAATTACATAGGTGAAATTGGTTTTCATGTTGTGTGGTGCGGTGCGATGTGATGTGATGTGGTGTGGTGTGGAGAGGTGTGATGTGATGTGGAGAGTTGTGATGTGATGTGGTGTGGTGCGGTGTGGTGTGGTGTGGTGAGGTGTGATGTGATGTGGTGTGGTGTGATGTGGTGAGGTGTGATGTGGTGAGGTGAGGTGAGGTGTGATGTGGTGTGGAGAGGTGTGATGTGATGTGGAGAGGTGTGATGTGATGTGGTGCGGTGTGTTGTGATGTGGTGTGGTGAGGTGTGATGTGGGTGTGGTGAGGGGTGGTGTGGTGTGGTGTGGTGTGGTGTGGTGTGATGTGGTGTGGTGTGATGTGGTGAGGTGAGGTGAGGTGTGATGTGGTGTGGTGAGGAGTGATGTGGTGTAGTGAGGTGTGATGAGGTGTGGTGTGGTGTGGTGAGGTGTGATGTGGTGAGGTGAGGTGAGGTGAGGTGAGGTGTTGTGTGGTGCGGTGTGGTGTGGTGCAGTGCAGTCAGGGATGCCACTCAACTTTTTAAAAAAATAGCTGAAAATCCACGCGCCGCGGTCTTGCTAACATATGAATATCAATTTGAAACCCAAAGGGTGTACATAGAGAGAAATGACAAACAAACATAAGCACTCCCCATTATTTGAACTAATGGCGAAGTCTTCGTTTTTCCGTTATTTGAACATTTGGTGCAAGTTGTTGTGTGTGTGTGTGTTTTTTTTTTTTAAACTATAAATTCAATCTCGATCTCAATACCGGAATAGCGGATCAGGATCAAAATACAGGAAAAAAGCGAAAAAGTGGCATCCCTGTGCAGTGTATGTGATAAGGCTATAAAATTTTGAACTGCCAAATCCGAGACAGTCCTTGGAAATTATACAGTTAGCAAGCCTGTGAATATCTACCTCAAATAATGTTTTAATATAAATTAAAAGAAAAAGAAAGAAAAAAAGAAAGAAAGAAAGAAAAAAGAAAAAGAAAGAAAGAAAAAGAAGAAAAAGAAAGAAAGAAAGAAAAAAGAAAAAGAAAGAAAAAAGAAAGAAAGAAAGAAAAAAGAAAAAGAAAGAAAAGAGAGAAAGAAAGAAGAAAAAGAAAGAAAAAAAGAAAGAAAGGGAAAAAGAATGAAAACGCCACCAACGTACCGGGGTCTTCGGCATCTTTGTACTTCTCAAACAACGCCTGCAGTTCCTGCTCCTCATGTTCCTTCCACAGGATCTTGCCTTTGCTGGAAACAAAAACAAAACAGTTTTCAACATTTCCTCAATCCTGATATCTGTGTGGACAGTTGAGCTGAGAAAAGAGCAAACATTGAGGGAGTAAGAGACAAACCAGCCAACCTACGTTAAATTTTTCGGGTGAAACGAGAGAGGGGGGTGAGAGGGAGAGTGGGAGCGGGATAGAGAGAGAGAGAGAGAGAGAGAGAGAGAGAGA